CCCCCCCCCCCCCCCCCCCCCAACACACGCACACGGGCCCATGTGTCTTGTGTGTACGTCAGTTGTCGACTGGGGTTGGGTCGGTGGGCGAGTCGTGCCGGGAGCTGTTGGCCTCTGTGAGTGTGATCAGTTTGATAGTGGGGGAGTTCTTTCGGCAGAGATGACATACACACATGGAGGACCCATGTGCTGTGCTCGGCCGCGGGTGGGTGGGAGGATGGATGGGTGCATGATATCTTGTTGCTATTCTTCTGGTGATGTCTTCAAGAGTGACCTGTAACTGATCGTCAGCCAGCTAGATACGTCTTTGATTGTGTTCGCATGAGTCCACTGTCCGTCCAGGAAGGAGTTTGCAAGACAGACATACCCACACACGAAATTACACGAAGAGAGACATCAACGACACAAAGACGTAGACGGCACCTAAACAGTCGCCTGCCTCCCCACCCCTACACACGCATTCGATTACGTCCGGACAAAACAGGCGCGCACCATGCACCATGCAGACTCGACGGCGGCACATCGACATAGACAGACAAGACACATCGGAGGACAAGACAAGACAGGACACGTTTCGATAGACAGTGACTTCACTGTAGATGGAGGCCTGCTCCCTGCCCATGTATGTATCTGTCCCTAGTGCTTTCTATTGCCTGCTCGCTATAGACTACTCCCTCCCGCACATCCACGGGCAGCACGCCAAACCTCCCGTCTCGGGCTTGCAGAGGCGAGACTGGCCTCACCTCACGGACGGTACCCACGTACTCTTATCAAAACACCGCAGGCGACACAGCACCACACAGACAACAACCAAACAAGCCAGCCAGCCAACACACGCACGCCATTAATGAGCAGCACTCGTCTGTCTCATCCCCGCCTTAATTCCCTCTCCCTCTCCCACTACTTTGCTAACATCTTCACACACAGAGGCAAGCGCATGAACACAAAACGGACCGACGACGCACACAGGGATGCGGCATGAGAGAAGGAGGGAGTCAAGTATGTCAGTTGGCTTTGTTTTCCTCCAAGCGGATAGCGAAGTAGGGCTTATGGTGGTTGGGCAGGGGGACTTCCGTTATGAGACTATCATCCTCAGGCGAGTGGAGGCACTTGGCACGGCTGTAAGTGACAATGTCGAAGCTGAGCTCTAGTCTCGTCTCCTTCAGGCTGTCGAAGAGTGTTTCGGTTCTTCCCTGGCAAACCGGTCGAACAGAACAAGACAGCCAGCTTCCTTCGCGCGAGTGCACAGACCTCATACTTACCGGGTTGTCAATGAGCATTCCCAGGAGCTGATCTGTGATCTGCTGCAGGAGCTCGTCGCCGTATTCGGCCATGTCGGCGTACATGCTTGCGATTTGCCTCTTGACCATGTCCTTGATATACGCGAGAGTGAAGGTCCCGGACCCCCCCATTATGTCGGCCGCAATCGCTGTCGCCGCCATATAGTAGTCACCCTCATCGATCTTCTCACCTGCGCACACACGCGCACAGAGAGACAGTCACACAGACAGAGAGAGAGAGAGATCCATTCAATGCGTCCATGGCCCGCTCGTTTACTCACCCCAGAAAACGTCGCCACACGGCAGTTCGAAAGGGTCGCTTGCTGCTCCTTTCCCGCACACCGTTCCTCCTGTGACCTCATACTCGACGTCTGCGTCTTTTGCCTCCTCGTCTACGCCACAGTCTCTGCAGTACTCGCGCGCCGCGGTGCAGGCAGCCTCAAATTGAAGCTGACCTGTACCGACGCTCGCAGAGAGTTCCACGGCCGTGTTCAAGGCCTCCCGAGGGTTCGAGGGCATATCTGGTATGACCTCATCCACAACCTCCCCGGCTCGTTCACCTGCTTGCTGCACTGGCTCCGTCCACCCACCGCCGTCAAGGCGCTGCCCTCCAACACTGACTCCCTCGCCCCCGAATTGCAGCTGGCGATGCTCCTCGCTATCTGAAGCACCTCGCAAGCCAGACGGGGCCTGATGTCATTGAGAGAGGAGAGGCACACACACGTCAGAATGCACAGATGAGATGAACAACCATCGCACAATCGCATACCGATGACACAGCCGATATGGCCAGGGCGAGATAGGTCAACACAATCAGCTTCGACATGGGATGGCCGGTCTGATCAAACTAACACTCGTCAAGCAAAGATGGAGCCGACGGGATGGATGCAGGGCGAGCGGAGGGATATGCTGAAAGTGGGCAGGAGACAAGAGAGCCGCTGCTGTCTTCTATCTCCTCTCTTTCCCTCTCCTCTCCCCCTCCTCCTTCTGCAAGCTCAGGGCCAGGCTCGCAGACGGCTCGCAACCGCAAAGATCAGAGCAGTTGACGCTGCTGCGCTTCTCACAACGATTAGATGAGATGAGGCCAAGGGAGAAGGGCGAAGATCTGCGGATATGAAAATGTTCATCTGCTCATGCATCATCATGATTACCCTGCCTTTCATCGCCGAGGCCGCTGCTTTCCAACCGAGCGGCCTCGACGTGCTCTTCCCATTTCCAATCCAGAGGAACCGCCATTTCCTCCCCGCAACTCGCCTCGCGCAGACGGCTGTCGAGCCCCTGCCCTTGCCGGCGAGCGGCGACGTGACTGTGGAGCTGCCAAGGCCACTCAACCTTCCCACCAGAGTCATGCGCGCACTCAAGTAACCAACACATCAGATCTGCAATGGCGGGCTGACTGGCTCACAAGCGCACACTGTGCGTGCGTGTCTGAGCCGTCCGTTCGATGTGTGTAGTGTATTGTGTGGGTGTGTGCGTTGTGGTCAGGTTCTGGGGATCTGCCTTGCCAATCCTGGGACGCTACAAGCTGCTGGAGGCGTGGCTGACGATTGAGCGTGACGTGCTGGAGAAGACACACGACGATGATGTGGTAAGTCAGCCTGTGACTGTACTTGACAGACTTGGATTGCGAGACTTGGATTCGCGCAGGTCAACGAGCTGTGGACTGAGCTGCATGAGTGGGGGTCTGAAAGGCTGCTGCAGGCCATACAGGATCTGAAAGGGTGAGAAGACGACCCCCAGTGAGGTCTGATTGCTCGACGGCACTCTCTGCTGGTGTGTGGCTGCACGTTGTGCCGATTGGTGCAGCTTCTACGTCAAGACGGGTCAGGTCATCAGCACGCGAGTTGACCTCTTTCCAGAGCAATACACAAGTCAGTCAGAAACGCTTGTGGCGTCGCACCAGCACCATGGCATCACTCCTCCTTCTGTGTCTGTATGTGTGTGTAGGCAAGCTGAGTTCTCTGCAGGACTCGTTAGACCCGATGCCCTTCAGCCTCGTGCAGAAGATCGTTGAAACCGAGCTGCTGCAAGGGCAAAATATATCGGTCCTTTTCTCGGAATTCGACCCTGAGCCGCTCGGCAGCGCCTCCATTGGACAGGCACAATAGACCAGCTCGTCGCTCTATTTGGCTCTCGCTGCATGTCGGTTTGTTGTGTGCCTTTCAGGTGCATCGAGCCAAGCTTTTGGACGGCCGAGAAGTGGTAAGGTACACAGACCATCCCCTCGCACCCATCCATCCATCCTTTCGTGTCATGTGTGCATCTTCAGGCCGTCAAGGTGCAGCGGCCAGCGATCGAGGCCAAGCTCCTCGGTGACATCGCCAACCTGCAGGCATTCGCACTCAGGCTGCGCAGCGTCTTGCCTGTGGACTACTATACCAGTACATCATCCAAGACCCACATCTCGCAAACGTACGTACGTCTCTCTGTGTATCAATGCAGTTTTCAAAGAGCTAGAGGCCGTGTTGCTCAACGAGCTAGATTTCCTCTGCGAAGCGCAGGCGATGGAAAAGGTTGCTGCCGCCATCTCACATACGCCCGACAACCGCCTGGCGCCCCCGCCGCTCATCGTGCCGCTGCCGCTCCCCGGCCTGGTGTCCAAGCGCGTGCTGGTGAGCAAACAGGGAGACGGCAGGGTGGAGATCATCCTTCCTTCCATGCCTGCATGCGTGCGTGTATGTCAGATAATGGATTATATCGACGGGAAGCCACTCAGCCGGCTGCGTGACGAGATGAACAAGCAGGGGATACTCCCTGGCAGCCCTGAGGCCAAGTTCGCCGCTCAGCGGCTCCTGACGTCTCTCACAGAGGCCTTCGCCCGCATGATATTCGGCCCTGGCTTTATCCACGGTGATCCACATCCGGGGAATATCTTCGTCCTTGACAACGGGCAAACCGCCCTCATCGATTGTGGACAGGTCAAGCAGCTGACATTCGATCAGCAACGCCGGCTCGCTGAGCTCATCATTCTTGTCAGCGAATGGGAGAACATCTATGTCGAACGGACGGCGGCCGAGAGGGCCTTGGAGCAGGCCACAGAGGACACTGATCGGTCTGCAAGGGAGGGACTGCTGGCCAACGTGACGGCGAGGCTCCAGGCAAAAGTTGCAGAGATGAATGCGGCGGTGAGGGGCTTTGGGGTGGAGCTCTTCGATGGCACGCCTGAAGAGGCGATGGCTGCGTGTGCTGTGGTGCTCTTCGGCAACTCACGGAACGACACCGTGCTCCCCGGAGGCTTCTCGGGTCTCGAACTCGCACCAGGTGAGAGACGAGACGAGGCGAGAGACGAGATGAGTGAAGGCCCGGCTCATTGTCCTTTGGTGACATACATGGCTGTCTGTGTGCAGACTCGCCCATCCGTCGGGTCCGATCGTTTCCTCAGGAGCTGGTGCTCCTCGGAAGGGCAACGGTCAGTCAGTGACGCACACAGACAGAAATACATGTCCCCTGTTCACACACCTCCCCTGATCTGCTGTGTGTGTGTGTGTGTGTGTGCAGGTGTTGATAAAGGGCATAGCGTCTCGTGTGGGCGTCCCCTGGTCCCTCTGCCAGGCCTGGGCCCCGCTGGCGAGACAGAGCCTCGCCCTCCTGTCCACCCACCCCACAACTGGCAGCAGGCTGCCCTGCTGGGCCGCTGACCCGGTGACATCTAGCGACATCATCAAACTGCCACGGTCCGGCGTGGCGGCCGCCACTGGTGAGAAGGAATGCCTTCTGTGCCACGTGCGATCCATCCAATGCCTGATTGCGTCCGTGTTTGTTTTGTGGGGCATGCAGCTGTCAAGGCGGCCGGGCTGATAAGAAGGCGGGCCCAGTCCGGCGACCGGCCACGGTTCTCAGAGGTGGCCATGTGTCTGGGGGCGTCCCTCGTGCTGCTGCGCTTATGGTTTGTGCGGAAGCTGGTCGACACAGTGGCGATACTGGTGCCTCAGCCACTGAAGAGGCGACTCAGGAGGGCGGTCCTGAGGGTGGCCGCACGGCTGCAGGGACACAGAGGAGAGAAGCGGCAAGATGACGAGAGTGCAAGTCCGAGTGCGAGTGCTCGTGGTAGTGATGCGGCTGAAGAGTCAGCTGCGTGATGTCAAGCATGCCTGCCGTCTGCCTGTCTGAATGAGAGATCAGGGAAGGGCTGTGGTTTTGATCGTGAGGGGATGTGTTTTTTCTGGCGTATCTATCGTATCTATCGCTGCGGCCATGTGAGGTGTACATAGATATCCAACATAGAGGACATAGTCTACTACTCTAGAGGGACAGTTTTCCTCCCGGCTGCCTGGCTACAGCCGTCCCCTTGAACGTGGAAGCTCGGATCTCACCCTAGAGAGCTGGATGGCCCATGTGGAATGTGAGACAAGGTAAGGTATGAGAGTGCATGCTATGCGTGCTGACTGACCTTGATCTTTATCCACCGATTGTGAGGAGCGGTGTGATCGCATCGCGTGAACGTAGCGTTATTGAACCAGGATAACCAAAGTCACGACAACATCTATCGGGCAACGGTGAGCGAGGGAGTAGATCAAGCTTCAAAGAGTCCACGCAGGCAGGCAGGCAAAAACTCATCTCAGTGACCTCTGGCCCCTCCCCTCGCCCCTTTTACTCTCGCGCAAACGAATCCCTTCCCTCTCTCTCTCTCTCTCTCTCTCTCCCCAGCCGCAAACAGATCTGCCGCCCCTCAGCACACATATGTACACTGTTCGTCTCGGAGTCCTCACTCAGTCACTGCAGTGCGCCCTCACCCAAATCTGCCCGGTTAGGTTAGCCATCCATCCCCCAACGATCGATAAAAGCAACAGATAAGGAAGGCCATCCACCCCCCCGCGTGTGGCATTCTGACATGACTCAGCCCTTCGCTCAGTCTTCTCTGTTTTGGATTTTGTCTAGGATCTGTTGGAAGAACCCGAAGAGCCCGTTGTCCTGGTCGCCAAAGTTCTCCAGCCGCCACTCCTCCGTCACGTCCACACTCTCATTCAGAATCTGAGTCACGCCATCGAAGTCAACCTGAACGAAGGAGACCACACACACACCACACCATCCGTCCACACACAGTTGAGTGATAGATGCAGTTGTCCCGCTGTCCACACCTCTTTCTCGCCAGGCACATAGGTGAAGAGCTGCAGACAGACAGACAGACAGACAGACAGACAGAGAGACAGACATGCACAAGCAGCGCCAGATCATCATCACCAGATCTGGCGTCTCAGCGTGTCAGCGTCACATACCTCCTTTGGGTTTGGGCTGCCGGGTGGTGGCTTGGGTTTGTTGCCGCCAAGGAGTGCGTGCAGCCTGGTGCCTCGCAGCGTCCGCGGGGATTGGTGATGCACAGACGGCTGCACCACAAACGACAGGGCGCTGCCCACGGCCAGCAGGCCGACCACCAGCTCAAAAATCAGCTTCATTCCACTAACCACGACTCGACAGGAGGAGAAAGTAGAGGGTCCTTCCTGTGGATGCTGCCTTCGAGATGTGCGAGCTAAACTTGCCGGCGATGGCGAGCTTTTGAAGAAAGGAGGAAGCCCTTTGCAGGTCAGACGAGTGAGGTTTGAAGCCAGGGTGACTGCTGCTGTCGTGATCTCTTTGAATCGAAAGAGATCCAACACCGTCGGGCGGCCCTCTGTAACTCGTGGCTGTGTGTGTGCGCGAGAAGAAAGAACAGAGAAAGAGAAAAGGCGCCTTATGATGGATGAATCGATGACAGTGATGCACCGATGACTAGCCCATCTTTGGGGATGATGGATGAGTCCTGGCGGCAGGCGGACAGCATATCGCTTCAGGACCTCGAGCCAACCAAAGGGAAATTGCTGGGTGAGCCTCGACACGAGAGAGAGAGAGAGAGAGAGAGAGAGAGAGAACGGACAGTCACAAATGCATGGGCGGTCTGTTTACTGTCATGCAGGTAAAGGGTTTTTTGGCGAGGTGCGGGAGATGCGTGACCGTCGGACGGGGGCCGCTTACGCCCTGAAGGTTGTGCCGAAGCAGCTCATCCAGAAGCACCATCTGACGTCACAGCTGATGCGGGAGATACAGATACTCTACGGCCTGAAGCACCCACACATCATACGCCTGTTCTTCCATCTCGAAGATGACACCAACTACTACCTCGGTCGGTGGGCACACACAGAGAGAGGTAGAGAGAGTGGGGGATGGATGTGTGTGTGTGCGTTTCGTCAGGAATGGAGGTGGCTGCGGGTGGTGGGATGTTTGACAGGCTGAAGAAGGCCTCCAAGTTCAGCCCGCAGCTGGCCGCCAAGTACTTCTCCCAGGTGTGCGAGGCCATCAACTACCTCCACAAGAGGCCACAGAAGATCATACACAGAGATGTGAGCGATTGTGGACAACACACACACACACACACACACATGGGAAGAAATGTAGAGTCTTTTGCCATGGTTGGTGGTCGTGCGGTGCGTGGATGTCTGCAGATCAAGCCAGAGAATCTCCTGTAAGTGACCAAGTGACCTGTGTCTGCGATTAGAGATGTTCTCGTGTCGCCGTCTATCTGGGCAGACTGGATGAGCATGACTCGATCAAGTTGGCCGACTTCGGCTGGTCGAATGTGCTGAGGGACACACAGATGCGTGAGTGACCACCCTGCGTCGCTCTGCTCGATCCATCCATCCATCCACCGACCTCTCAGTGTGTGTGGTGTGGGTCCATGTCTATAATCAGGACAGACATTCTGCGGCACACTCGACTACCTCTCCCCAGGTGTGCACAGCCGCACACACGCATATGGATCAGCCAAGATATGCAAGCCTGTGTGTCGCCGCTTGATGCAGAAATGATCAAGGGAGAGGGCCACAACGAATCGCTCGACTGCTGGTCCCTAGGCGTGCTGTTGTATGAGTTCCTGGTCGGCCGGTCGCCATTCGGCGCACCATCGCAGGATGAAGTCTGCAGAAGGGTGACGACTGAGAGAGACACCGGCTGGCACACTGACAAGTGCCCAGAGCCTCACGTGTGTCTGTCTCTTTCGGTGACGTTGGCTGCATGGTATGGTCAGATTCTGCACTGTGAGTTGCGGTGGCCCCACGGCGGCACAGATGCAGATGGCATGGACCTCATCCAAAGGTCAGAGGGAAGGAGAGAGGGCCACCTTTGCAGCTGAAGCTGATGTGTGTCCACTCATGTGATATAGGTTACTCAAGGTGCGTCCCCACGAACGGCTGACGGTCGACCAGGTAGGTGTGCTATGCCTAGGGCAAGACACATGGCTGCCTGCCTGCCTGCCTGAATGCAATCCACTCGACAGGCGCTGCGTCACCGCTTCGTTGTCAAGTACACGCGGCCCAGCTCACCAGACGCACCACTCACCGACACAACGACCAATCAGGTGAGCACGGAGAGACACCATCCATCCATGCATCCATCCATCGACTCATGTTGTGTGTGCAGGAAGGTGCGGCTGAGGGCAATGTGGGTGGGTTGCTGGCTGCCAAGGTGCGTCTGGAGAGGGAGGTGGAGCGGCTGCGTCAGCGGGAGGAGCGTTACAAGTCGGAGGTCAGGAAGCACCAGCACGACAGCGAGGAGAGGGCGCTCGAGGTCGTACAAATCACCAAGAGGAACCAGCAACTGGAGGCTGACATCACACAGGTGATCTTATCGATAGATATACTGGGCGGTGCGGTGCCTACACATCCCCTGCCTGTTCGGTTATGTCTTCCCTTCCTCTGCGCAGCTGACTAGTGACCTGGAGGAGTCAAAAACTGCCCTGCAGGAGGTAGGTGGGTGCCTATGGCGAGGGTGGCCGCGCTCTCTAGCTCTCTAGTCCACTATGCTGCTACGGTGTGTGTGTTCGGACATCAGCTGACGGCCAAGCTTGCCGAGTCCGACACGGAGCTGCAGCGGCGACAGGCAGCTGCCGATCAGCTGCCGTCTGTGCAGCAGGCGCTTGACGAGAAGGAGAGGCTGCTCGTCGACATGGAGCACAAGAAAGCGCAGCTCACACAAAAGGTGAGGTGACCGAACGAACACCAAACAGGCATGCACACGGAGAATGGGTGCGTGTGTCAGGTGTGTGTGTTGGAGAGTGAGGTGAGCGGCCTGCGGACATCGGCACACGCAGCAGAGGAGGAGCTGCACGCTCTTACAGACAAACACCGAACCGCAATGCAGGAGAAGCGTACCTATGGAGACAAAAGACACTTCGCTACGGCTTGTCATAGTCACCGTCATCCATCCATCCATTAGGTGAGGATGCAATGGCGTCCGAGTGCCGCATCCACACGTGTGAGACCGAGCTGGCCGTCATTCAATCGCAGAAGGAACACTTGGAACAGGTGGGCAGGGAGGGAGGCAGGCAAACAGACAGCGTAAGACACCCTCGTGTCGTGTGCACACCACACTGGTGGCTGCATGGCATGTGGTGTGCAGGTGTTGAAGGGCAACGCGTCGCTCGCCCCTCTGCTGACCAGCCATCGAGACGACAGGGACAAGATAGAGAAGATGGCGGCCGACATACGAGCAGGTGGGTGTGTTATGTGGCCAGTGCATCGCGGATGCTCCACCCTCCACCCAAAGCATGCATCCACGGCCCGGTGTGTGCTAGGCCTTGATCGAGTGGCGGCACAGCAGGAGGGGTACCAGACGAGGGGAGAGCTGCAGAGGGAGAACGAGAGGCTATCGCAATCGCTTCTGCAAATGTAATGTGGGAAGGACAATCGCCATGTGTTTTCATCCTGAGAGTCCCGTTGCCCTATCTATCACCAGGAAGAAGGACATGGCGGCATTGCAGCTGTCAGCAGAGCGCGACAAGCACCGAGCCGTCGAGCAAATGCAGGTATGTATCTTTTGGCCGGGCAGCAAACACACGACACTCACCAGCGCAGGTGTGATTGGGCGTGCGTGTGTGTGCCAGGCGCTGCATCGAGAGGAGCTTCGGACGGTCCGCGAGAGGATGGCCGAGGCTGTGCGGCAGATGGAGCACGACGCTGACCAACGCACACAGCGGCTTAGTGGGCGGATCGAAAGAGACGTAAGGACGCTCACCTATTAGTCTGAGTAGATTTGTCCAGGTCTGTCTGTCTGTCTCTCTGTCTGTCTGTCTGTCTGTTTGTCTGTCAGACTGAGCGTCGTGCCGACCAGCGTGTTGACATGGATGAGCTGCAACGGATTTCCATCGAGGCCGAGGTCAGCGCACCGCAACACCACCCCACCCACAATCGACTGGGGTCGATCGATTGACCTTCCCCCCCCCCCCTCTCTCTGTGTGTGGCCAGGCACTGAGGGGCGAGCGTGATCTGCTGCTGCAGCGTGCCGAGCACATGCGCAAGTCGCTCAACATCACCGATGTAGGCAGCAGACAGGCAGAGAGGGAGACAGGCAAGGCAAGAGAGTGACAGGTCGCGTCAACGTTGGTTCGGTTCGGTGTCTCACGGCCTCTCTCTCGTCGGCTGTGCTAGCCTGCCAGAGAGGGCCGCGACGGACACACACATGATGAGCCGACTCCTCCATTCAACGCGTAGACAGACCCATGCATATTCCTGACCCCTCGCCAGGCCACACACACCTATGCTGGCGAGGCTGTCCATACCTGTGCCACACCGTCTCTCTCTCTGTGTGTGTTGTGTGGGCGTGTGCAGGAGTCTGACAAGCATCAGCGTTCCCGCATCTACGACCTAGAGACGGCGCTAGCACAGGAGCGCGCTAGGCGCGTCGAGCTGTCGGCCGAGCTGGGCGACCTGGAGCGGTGCGGCCTTGACGAGCTCAAGGAGCAGGTGTCCGACCCGATAGAAAGGGAGACCTTCTACCGCACTGTCGAGGCCACCATCCGCTCGCTGCTCGACAACCGACCAGCCCCATCAGCAGCACCACCAGCACCAGCGCGTCGGACATTGCTGGGCAGGAATGTCCCGCCTCCGAGTCGCACGAGCGGTGAGTCGGTCCCCGCGAGAAGGCGGTCATCTGGTGCTGTGCTGCCGTCATCGCCCGCACACAGTGTTGGCGGGGCTAAATCGGCGGACTGACGGGTGGAGGGGGGGCTGAACGACTGATTACTGGGGGAATACGTGAGGGAGGGAGTGTAGCATAGGGCGTGTTTACGTTGGTATAAGTGGGCAAGGTAGTAGGGACGGGTGTCTCTCGGTGTGTGTGTGCATCATGACTTCACGATGTGGTTGTGAAAGCCAGACTTCACCTTCATACATAATGCGTCGAGTCGGGTGTCTCACATGCATGGTGAACGCCACGTGTGGCATCGATCGCCAAACCAAGCGATGGATTCAACAAACAAGGGCAGACCGATCGAATGGAACGCAAAGGCCTGCCTAAAGTGAAAGTAAGTGTCGCATACACACACATACCGAAAGATATACATCTCCCTCGTCCCTCGCGATGCACACGTGCAATGTGAATTACATGACATCCCATTTCCTCGCTGACGACACTGCGAGTACTCCAGAAGCGGACAGATACACACACCCACACTCAAAACTGACTGCCTGACTGCATGTATGTCCGGCTCCGCCTGTCGATGGAATGACAACGCACACACAGCGCACATGCCATATACGTGTGAGAGAGGACCGACCCCTCCCTGTCTCACTGAAGGCGCTACGGCTGCTCAACGCACGCCAGCACGCCCAAGTGAAAGTCGACAACCGCAGAATATTAATAATGCACAAAGGCATGCAGCAGGCAGACGGCCGAACAGGCGAACGGGCACTTGACATGCAGGCCAAACAAATCACTAAGAAACTTGGTTGGATGGCACTGCCCATCCAACTCGCCTTTAGGCCTGATGGAATGGGCCGCCAGAAGGGGGCGTACGATTTACTGCCCGACTGCATGTCCGGCGATCCATACACATACGAATTCCTAGCTTACAAGACACAAGCCTCATGCACAATATGACATGATTGACACCATACTGTCTCACCGACGGCTTTACAAGCACTCAAGGCAAGACAGCCAACCCACGAAACACGACATCAGGAAAAGTGACAGGCACTTCACGAGCAGTCGAGAAGGCATGCGGGGCATCTGATTGGATGCCCCTCCCGACAGACAGGAGGACATGAAGTGGAAAAAATCACAGACAGCCGACAGAAGGCTTTGGCGGCACAACACATGTCATTCCCTGGCACCCACCCAGCTAAGCAAGGGACCAGATCATCCCCGTCTGTCGTGTAATTAAGTACCTTGACTGATCGTCCCTCATGAGATCACGCGCCCGCTCGAGAGCTTCCTCAATCACACGTCTCTCAGTGCTGCCCTTGTGAGCATACCGGCTGCGCGCATCTGCGGCCAGCTGATCGAGATGCGTCTGGATGACATCGAGACGCCTCCCAAATTCCGCTGCGCTAGGTGGTGGTGAGCCGATGGAAGTATTGCTGTGCCCATTCTTGGCTCGGATGCAAATGAAGCCCAGGTCAGCCAGCATGTCGATCGACCGCTCCATGACGAAAAGGTCCTTCTGGCAGTAGAAACGCAGGCTGTGCATGCACAGGGCGAGCAGCTCCTCGAAAGACCATGACCGCATTGCAACGTAGAGTCTCTGAAAATGGAAACACGCACACACGCACATACGTTCAGCATTGCATGACTGCTTTCCCCCCTCTTGTGCGCACACGTACCCCGCGGATTCTGACGAAGTGATGGTGGAGCTTGTTCCGCACGATGTCCTTGAAGAGCTCGCTGATGCGGTCGATAGCGCTGACTGCTGCATGGGGGTCGTTGACTGACGAAGTCATGACGCGGACGGCGATTTCCGTGATCTCACGAACTGACCGCAGATCGATGAAGAAGGCAAGAGTGCATGTAGCCAGCCGTCTCGTCTGGTGTGGTCTGTCTGTCCGGCTGGCTGGCCCACCTCCGAATGAGATGCTCTCGCCACCGCGATCTTCACAACTCACACGAAGGGCCCGGTTCACCATCCTTGTCACACGGTGTAACTGCTGTTTATTCACACGCTCGACACGCTTTACATCACTCGCACTCGCGACTGCCTGCAGACTTGAAGTGTCGACGTCGGGATGCACACGAACCCATGCCTAGGCACATCAAATAAAGGCATACGTGTGTGGTAGAAACGAGCAGAGCCACACTTCACTTACCAGGACTGTTCCTTCTGTGACAAATGTGCCCATCATGATGCGACGGTTGACGCACAGCTGGAGAGGGGGCCGCTCCTTCCGCAGCTGATGAGCCAGCCAATGTAAGTCGGCCGAGCAGATGTAGCCACTGCGCTTGGCGAGGATGATATCTCGATGTCCGAGAGCGAACTCGTCTAATGGTTCGATCTCATCGCTCTCTCGCGGCGGCTCGATGGTTTGCCGTTTGAAGGAAGTCGCACTCTTCTTGATCCATCCCGTGATCTCCATAACCCAATGACAAAACCCCTCCTCAACCGACCAATTGGCCTCGCGAAGTGACCGCTTGTTCTCCTGGACAATATTGCGAAGGATGTGCTGCAGATGAAGGCCGCACAGAAAGCTGAGGACACGAAGAACACATGGACAGGAAACCGTATCTGCTTGGTATCACACGCCTGCATACTTGTGCATGAAGAAAACCAACAGCCACAAGAACAAGATGCTATCTGCAAAACAAAGGGCACGCAAACCTACTTGCGGCATTGCGTTTGTCCTCTCTGCTGCTGGTTGCTTACAGAGGCCCAGAACATTGACGGCCAACTCAGGTGTAAACGGATCTTCCTCCTGCTCGTCCGGAGCCTCGCCGCCGACGAAGAAGATGACAGTCATGCAATAGGCAAAGAAGCCAATGAAGACGCTGCACAGACACACAGGGACCGATAAAAATAAAAGGACAAGTATATGAGAAGACCGGCCACTTTCTCTCTCTTCTGCCTGCCAATGAGGCCACTCACCTGAGGCAGCGGACATTCGCTGAGCTTCGCATGTAACTGTTCACCAGTCGAGGGGAGTAATTGGAAGCGAAGAGCTGCATGGCCAGGATGGTCACCGAGAATGTCAGCACCACCACGTTGATAGATGTCGACCCAAGCATGTTCAATAGCGCACGCGCACGGCTGACGTCCCGCGTGATCCACTTATACCCTTCCTTCCAGGTCTCCGTCTCGTGCCATCTCTGGTTGTCGCGCAAGAGTAGCGGGCCGGGGATGCTGGTGTCGTTGAGGCGCTCCAGAGTCAGCCTCAGAGCGATTGGTTGAGCAAGCTGCCTCTTATACCACCTCCAGTGATCATTGCGGCAGAGGGCGAAGGCGAGCATGACATTGAGAATAATCGATAACTGAAGGGACACCACAGGACACACGCAGCGAGGGATTCATCAAGTGAGGGGAGAAACACCTGCCCAAACCTTCATTCGGCTTACGATGGGCCAGAGGAAGAAGCGCCGATAATGGTGTCGAAAGCGGTTGTCCGCACGCTGCACGAAAGTCATGAGGAAGAGAACACTGAACACGGCAACATAGCCCCAGAGAAGGTATTTGAAGGTTTTGGAACGAGGGTTCTCCTCCAGCTCAGCGGTGAGGGTGCTGTTGAATTGACCGTCAGTCATCCATTCATCGAAGCCCGCCAGTGTGGGTCGATCAGAGGTGTTGTTGAGCGGCAGCTGGCTCATGCCGAACTGATAAATCTGAGAGCCAACACGCGCTGAGAGAGGGGGACTCCATACAGCGGGGAAAGCGTGCAGCGGGGACTCCATCTCACATCACCAGCGGCAGCAGTGGACCGTTCCGGACATGCGCCTGCCAAGATCTCACGACAGTGCTCCGATCTCTCCATTTCGCTCTCTGCGGTATCAGGAATCTCATTCTCTGCTCTCCTCTCCGATCGCCGCATGGCTCGCAAGAGGGCGAGAGGAAAGAGATAGACGACAGCATGTGTGCCTTCCTCCTGCCCCTTCTCTTTGTTGTTGCCCATCGACCTGCCGTCGACCGCACCCAGTTTTCGATTCGTCGGTGCATCTCTCTTTCTTGGTCAGCAGGGCCGTCCCATGTCAAGGCTGACGGTGTTGGGCTGCCTCGCCCTGGCCATCTTGACTGTGTCGTCGGTAGGCGACTGTCTGTGGACACGCACCTGTGTCTGTGTCATGATGCCTGACTCTCCTGCTCAGGCCCCGTCTGGTTTGCGAGGCGAGAGTGGGCAGAACATGTTGAGCGGCACACAGGTGGTGCAGCCGGCTGATGTGGACTGTGGATCGTTCGACTGCGAGTTCGGCACTTGCCGGAAGGATTTGTCCCTGTTGAGCAACGAGGAGCGATCCACCTATTGTCAATCGCATGGGCCGTGCTTCCCTGATGGTCGTGAATTCCCTCTGCACTGTTTCGAGCCGTGCTTCAAGGAGGAGCTGGAGGCTCTCCGCGAGGCGTCGCAGAATGGCACTGGATCCGAAGGTGACGACAGAACGAGTAAGAGGGCGGACGTGTATTATGGTTGTTTCCTTCTTTCTGCTGCAGAAATCTTTGGTATCGAAGTGTACGATCTGTGTGCCCCTCGTCCTGAAGATGTCACTTTTCCTGGAGCTGGCATTCACTATGTCAGCTCGCCAAATGCAGCCGCAGGTGGCGCCGTAGGTAGCGCCATAGGTGGCGCACCCTCTTTCCACAGCCAGCCGCGTAACTTTGGCTTATCGAAATTCATGTGTTGGGTGACGAGTGGTTTCAAGTCTGGTGGGTGTTGATAGATGGAATATCAGTAGCCAATTCGCCTCTTGCATGAGTCTGTCGTTCGTTTGGTTTTGATCCATTGCGTGTCTTGTCTGTCCCTCTGGGGGAGGGAACACTCAATCAGTGTGTCTCCTCAGGAGGGGTAATGCCACCAACCAATTGCATTATTCATGTCCTTTGCTTTGCCTGTGAGGCACCTCTTCGCCTGTCGCCAGAGAAAGTCAGATGTGTACTCAAAGTCGGTGGTGAGGCCTTTTGTTTTGGTGTGCGTCATATGTGCGCCCCGGCAGTTTCTTGGAATGTTGTGTGGCCATGCCATGCCTGCATATCGCTTGGCTCAGCGGGTTGTCAGCTATGAGACTTGTCCATGTGGACCGACGCGTAGGGCCCCAATATATCATTTCACATCAAACTCATGTCCGAATCATGGAGAGGAGAAAGCAAGCCTTCATCCATCCGTCATGTTCATCCACACGTCAACACAGCCGTCCATCCACCTGTCCACCCATGCACCACGCCGATCAATTTCATTTGCCTGCACTGCGATCCGTCCGTCCATGCACTGCTGTGCATCATTCATTTCCCTGATCATGCGACGCAGCTCAGTTGTTTAAATCGTTTATGTAGTCATATGTCAAGGCATCCTCTTCACATTGTCAACACATGAAGAAGACACAGAATGCATGTCTGATGGACAAGAATACATGATGGCAGGGACGACAGTCAAGCTCTATCGATAGAACGCCTCCCCTCTCCTCCCACATTTCCCTTTCGTGCAATGCGTGATGCGCATGAGAGAGGACCGACGCGTCGCTGTCTCACTGAAGGCGCTACAAGTGCTCAAGGCACGACAGCCCGCCCAAGTGAAAGTCGACAATCGCAGTATATTAACAATATACAAAGGAAGGCAAAGACAGGCAGGCAGGCAGACGGCCGGACAGGCGAACGGGCACTTGACATGCAGGCCAAACAAATCGCTAAGAAACTTGGTTGGATGGCACTGGCCATCCAACTCGCCAATAGGCCTGATGGAATGGGCTGCCAGAAGGGGGTGTACGATTTACTGCCTGACTGCATGTCCGGCGATCCATACACATACGAATTCCTAGCTTACAAGACACAAGCATCATGCACAATACGACATGATTGACATCATACTCTCTCACCGACGGCTTTACAAGCACTCAAGGCACGACAGCCAACCCACGAAACACGACATCAGGAAAAGCGACAGGCACTTCACGAGCAGTCGAGAAGGCATGCAGGGCATCTGATTGGATGCCCCTCCCGACAGACAAGAGGACATGAAGTGGATAAAATCACAGACAGCAACGACAGAAGGCCGTGGCGATACAACATATGTCATTCCCTGGCACCCAGTCAGCTAAGCAAGCGAGATCATCCCCGACTGTCGTGGAATTAAATACCTTGACTGATCGTCCCTCATGAGATCGCGCGCCCGCTCGAGAGCTTCCTCAATCACACGTCTCTCAGTGCTACCCGCGTCAGCATATTGGCTGCGCGCATCTGCTGCCAGCTGATCGAGATGCGTCTGGATGATATTGAAACGCCTCCCAAATTCCGCTGCGCTTGGTGGTGGTGAGCCGATGGAAGTATTGCTGTGCCCATTCTTGGCTCGGATGCAAATGAAGCCGAGGTCAGCCAGCATGTCGATCGACCGCTCCATGACGAAAAGGTCCTTCTGGCAGTAGAAACGCAGGCTGTGCATGCACAGGGCGAGCAGCTCCTCGAAAGACCATGAGCGCATTGCGACGTAGAGTCTCTGAAATACACATACACATACACGCACACCCACACACATACGCTAGCATTGCATGACTGCTTTTCCCCCTCTTGTGCAAACGTACCCCGCCGATTCTGACGAAGTGATGGTGGAGCTTGTTGCGTACGATGTCCTTGAAGAGCTCGCTGATGCGGTCGATAGCGCTGACTGCTGCATGGGGGTCGTTGACTGACGAAGTCATAACGCGAACGGCGATCTCCGTGATCTCACGAACTGACCGCATCGATAAAGAAGGCAAGAGTGCATGTAGCCAGCCGTCTCGTCTGGTATGGTCTGTCTGTCCGGCTGGCTGTCCGGCTGGCTGGCCCACCTCCGAATGAGATGCTCTCGCCACCGCGATCTTCCCTACTCACACGAAGGGCCCGGTTTACCATCCTTGTCACACGGTGCAGCTGTTCTTCGCCTCTCATGTTACCGGAGCTAGCAACTGAAGTCGAACTCGAACTGTCGTTCTCGGGATGCACTCGAACCCATGCCTGAGCACAAATACAGGGGTAGACGCATAACAGCGACGAGCAGAGCCACACTTCACTTACCAGGACGGTTCCCTCTGTGACAAACGTCCCCTTCATGACACGACGGCTGACGCACAGCTGGAGAGGCGGCCGCTCCTTCCGCAGCTGATGAGCCAGCCAATGTAAGTCGGCCGAGCAGATGTAGCCACTGCGCTTGGCGAGGATGATATCTCGATGTCCGGGGGCAAACTCATCCAGTGGCTCGATCTCATCGCTCTCTCGCGGCGGCTCGATGGTTTGCCGTCTGAAGGAGGTCGCACTCTTCTTGACCCATCCCGTGATCTCCATAATCCAATGACAAAACCCCTCCTCAACCGACCAATTGGCCTCGCGCAATGATCGCTTATTCTCCTGGACAATGTTGCGAAGGATGTGCTGCAGATGAAGGCCGCACAGAAAGCTGAGGACACGAAGAACACATGGACAGGAAACCGTTTCTGCTTGGTATCACACGCCTGCGTACTTGTGCATGAAGAAAATCAACAGCCACAAGAACAAGATGCTATCTGCAAAGGACAGAACACGCAAACGTACTTGCGGCATTCCGTTTGTCGCCTCTACTGCTGGTTGCTTACAGAGGCCCAGGATATCGACGGCCCACTCAGGTGTAAACGGATCTTCCTCCTGCTCGCCTGGAGCCTCGCCGCCGACGAAGAAGATGACAGTCATACAGTAGGCGAAGAAGCCGATGAAAATACTACACAGACACATACACAGACAACGAACAGCAAAGTGGGCCATCTCTTTTTTTTGGAATGCCCAGCATTTAGTCACTCACCTGAGGCAGCGGACGTTCGCTGAGCTTCGCATGTAACTGTTGACCAGTCGAGGGGAATAGTTGGATGCAAACAATTGCAGGGCCAAGATAGTCACCGAGAATGTCAGCACCACCACATTAATAGATGTCGACCCAAGCATGTTGAGTGAGAAGTGCACGCGCACGGCTGACGTCCCGAATGATCCATTGGAAGCCTCCTTTCCACGTCGTATCTGGCAAGAGCAGTGACCGGCTCGTATCATTGAGGCGTTCCAATGTCAGCTCCACTGCGATGGGTTCGGCGACCTTCCTCTCGTACCACTTCCGATGGTCGTACTGACAGAGGGCGGAGGCGAGCAAGACACTGAGAATGATGGAGAAGAAGGGCCAGAGGAAGAAGCGGCGGTACTCGGGTAGGAAGACGTTGTCCGTCTGCACGAATGTCACGATGAAGAGGATGCAAAAGAAGGCGACATACCCCCACACCAAATAGTTAATGGTGGGCTCGAGAGGCTTCTCTGCTAGCGTAGTAGCAAGGCTGCTGTTGAATTGACCGTCAGTCATCCATTCGTTGAAGCCGACCAGCGTTGGTCGATCAGAGGTGCTGTTGAGCTGCAGTTGGCATGAGCTGAACTGATGAATCTGAGGGCCGGCAAGCGTACAGGTCTGCAGGTGCGTGGCGTACAGCGGGGACTCCATGTCGAGCATTAACAGCGGTAGGAGCTGCCGTTGCAGTTGAGGACCTGCGCCTGGCAAAATCTGCAAAGTCGGGTGACGACAGCGAGATGAGAGATCTCTCTGTGAGTGTCGCTCCCTAGCTCGCAAGAGGGCGAGAGGAAAGAGATAGACGACATGTCAGAAGTGCAAGTCGGTCCAGGGTTTAGGGTCTAGGGTTCATAGACCGACGATCCACTGATCTGTGAGACAGGACGGCTGTTGAGTCTTTGTCCGTTCCATGAGACAGGCCATGGCGGACAGGACGTCAGACAGAATGGACTGAC